TAGACAACTACAGACCATGTCAGAGCGCCACCACATGGCTACTGCACAGCTGATCCTCCATGGAGCATGGAGTGTGCAGGTTGGTGGTAAGTGATCACAGCCAATCCTTGCAGCTGACTGGCCTAAGAAAATCCCTCCCATTGATCTACCAATAGCAGCCAAGGTTCAACTACAAGAGGAGGGTGTACTCAGCCTACACCAAGGGCTCACCTTAAGTACCCAGCTTGAGTGATAAAGAGGCTGTGGCACTGGACCCTACAGGACACCTACTACATTAGGCCACGCTACCAAGACACCGAGTCAAAGCAGCTCTACTTAATATATAGGAACAAATACAGGGAGGCTACAAAAAATGAGGAGACAGAGAAGCATGGATCAAATGAAGGAACTGATCAGAACTCCAGAGAAAGAGCTAATGAAGTAGAAATAAGCAACCTATCAGATGCAGAGTTCAAAACACAGGGTGTAAGGATGCTCAGGGAAGTTACTGAGGACCTCAGCAATATAAAACAGATTCAGTCAGAAATGAAGGTTACACTAATTGAAGTGAAGAGTAATCTACAGGGAAACAACAATAGAGTGGATGAAACCAAGAATCAAATCAATGGTTTAGAACATAAGGAAGCAAAGAACAACCAATCAGAACAAGAAGAAAAAAGAATCCAAAAAAAATGAGGGTAGTATAAACAGCCTCTGCAACAACCTCAAGAGGTCCAACATTCACATCATAGGGGTGCCAGAAGGAGAAGAGAAAGAGCAAGAAAGTGGAAATCTGCTTGAAAAAATAGTGGAAGAAAACTCTCCTACTTTGGTGATGAGAAGAGACATGCGAGTCCAGGAAGCACAGACAGTGCCAAACAAGTTGGATGCAAAGCAGCCCACTCCAAGATGCATCATAATTAAAATGCCAAAGGTTAAACATAAAGAGAGAATCTTAAAAGCAATAAGAGAAAAGCAATCAGTTACCTACAGGGGAGTTCCTATAAGACTGTCAGCTGATTTCTCAAAAGAAACTTTGCAGGCTAGAAGAGACTGGCAAGAAATATTCAAAGTCATGGAAAGTAGGGACCTACAGCCAAGATTGCACTGAAATGGCAAATAATACGTATCTATCTACAATTAAATCTAAAAACAAACTAAGCAAACCAGAAGAACAGAGACAGAATCAAGGATATGAAGAGCATTTTGATGGCTCCCAAATGGGAGCGGGGTGTGGGAGATGGGTAAAGAGAAGAGGGGGTTAAGAAGTACAAACAGGTAGTTACAGAATAGCCAGGGGGATGTAAAGCACAGTATAGGAAATGGAGTAGCCAAAGCACTTATACTCATGACCCATGGACATGAACAATGGTGGGGCCTTGCTGAGGGAGTGGGGCTACTGGGTGAAGTGGGGGAAGGGGGAAGATAAGGACAACTGTAACTGTATAATCAAGTAGAATTTTAAATAAACAGATTTAGCTTTACTAATCTTGGTATTGCACAAATCACCAGCAGGGTCCCTGTGTCAGCCACAGTAATTTCTCCAGGTATCCTAAGAGAAGAGACAGGAGGAGTTCTCAACACAGGGGGCTTGGCATGGGTACCCTCACCTTTCATTCACTTAAGGTTTATTGTCATTTGTGTGCTCATGTTGTCTAGGTTATATCTCGGTTTGACTAAATAACCCCTCACATAACGGGCATGATTTGCATGACTCCTGCTAAGGAACCACAGATTGAAGGCCATACAATAATATAAGTATTCAAATATGTCACATGTATAATAATATGTGACAAAAAGATAATGGCAGAGCCATTTCCTCCTAGAACAAGTACTATACAATACAAGGTAGAGACAGTGCTGAGCCAGTCTAATCTCACAGGAAATGGATCTATAAAAATTATCAAGCAGGCTGTTTGCATAACGGGTTTAGAGAAACACATGCATCTTACTATGAGAAGTACTGTTTGCTGATGATAATTTGAGACCTTGCGATTAGCAAGACATATGATAGCTAATGATCCAAATTATTTTAATGATAGTGTTTTAATTGAATACAAAAATGTTTTATGTCCTCCAGTTAGGTAATTTTTTTAAATATAGTTTTATTTTGTTCTTATTTTAGAGCTTTATGTACATTTTATAACATGCAAACCAGTAATGTTGCATGATGTATAAATAGGATGCATGAGGTCTGTCTGAAGGAAGTCCAGCCATCGTTAACATAAGGAGGATAGTTGGTGTAACATCGATGTAACCTGGCAGCCAAGGACAGTGGACTGGAATGCGCTGTGCAAACAATGATCACTTCACTGTACTAGTCAGTGGGGACAGTAGACGCTGTTGAGTGAGCATGTGTACTGTGTGGCCATCGCATTCAAAAGGACTGGGTGAATAGAGCAAAGAATGTGCATCAGATTTTGTGTTGGGCTTGAACATTCCTCTGCGGAAACTATTGAGATGACTCAGAAGGCCGCAGCTATGGGCAACTGGTGATTGACAGCCTCCTCACAACTTTAGATGTGCACACTAATGCATCACGTCTCGTGCAGTTTTTCGGTGAAACATCAAATTCCCCAGGTACCTCAGCCCCGCTATAGCCCAGATGTGGCACCCTGCGACCTCTGGCTTTTCCCAAAACTCAAATCACCTTTGAAAGGGAAGAGATTTTAGACCCTCGAAGAGATTCAAGAAAATACAATAGGGCAGCTGATTGCATTTGGGAAAACTGTGTGAGGTCCCAAGGGGCCTACTTTGAAGGGGTCTGAGGCATCATTGTTCTCTGTACAATGTGTCTTCTAGTATCTTCTAAAATAAATGTCTCTATTTTTCTTTTTTTCAAACAAATATCTTTTATTATATTTATTGTTCAAGTACAGTTGTCTTGATTTTCCCCTACCACATCCCCCATCCCACCCCTCAGATGTCTCTGTTTTTCATATTACGTGGCTAGATACCTTCCGGACAGACCTCATGGGTCGGAAGTACATCCTCACTTTACTTGTAAGCGTGAACTACCAAAAGAAATCGGAAGACCTCTGGTCTAGACGGTGGCTTACTAGTCAGAGTCACCTGAAGAGACTGGTAGAAGGTCTCTGGCCCGGCCTGGGGATCAGTATTTTCACGAAGCTCCTTGGTCCTTTTGAGGGTCAGCCACCTTTGAGAGCTGTCCCTTGTCCGCGTTACCTGCTGCAAGCTAAAAATTACGCTATAGTGACCATGCAAAGGGAAAAATCTGGAAGCTGTAAGCGTCTGTAAGATCTGTCTACTTTTTCATTGGCATTTTTTATTTCCTAGAATATGTTTTTAACAGATATGTCTATTTTTTGGTCAAAGAAGATAATTTTATACAAAGATATTAGGCTGAACCATATAGAATCACCAATTTTCAACCATTTTTTACCTACAAAAGTGACATTTCATATGGTTAATGAAAGTTTTTCTCAGAAAAGCACTTTAAAACAAAAATATTTATACAAGGTGTTTAGTTTGCAACTTTGTTGCATATTTTAAAATAAGATATTAAAACACCTGTTGCTGTATGTTTTCTCAATGTGTAAGTCTGTCTCCAAGGACTTATTCATTGTTATAAAAATCTATTTGTTCTGGCTTGTGTGGCTCAGTGGGTTGGGCGTTATCCTGTAAACCAGAAGGTCACCAGTTCGAATCCTGGTCAGGGTACCTGCCTGGGTTGAGGGTGTATGGGAGGTGGCTTATTGATGTTTCTCTTGCACAATCGATGTTTATCTCCCTCTTTTCCCCTCCCTTCCCCTCTCTCTAAAAGTAAATAAGTAAAATCTTTAAGAAAAATAAATTTGAGTACGTGCTGTGTCTAAACTCTGGACAAAATCTTATCCCAGAATTCCCCAAAAGCACTTAAAATCTGACTTGGGGGAAATAAGACCCACAAGCATGTGCTGAAAAACCAACCACCAGCTGTGGACAAAACAAGCACCTCGCAGAGGAGGCGGAGCCAGCAGATGGCCTGAGACAAAGATACTGCTCATCTGGACTCCTGGCTCCTTGCCCTGTCTCTCCATCAAGCTTGTCTGGGTCCCGGCTCTGCCTGGGTCTCTGCTTCTCAGAATAAATGCATTTCAGTGGCATGTTGTCATGCTGTGCGCTTTCCACCAGAATGGTTAGGGGGAACGTGGTACTCTTGAACACTTAACATTTAGGAGAGTAGTCTTGAATGAAAACTCATAAAAATGTTTGCGAATAATTGTTAACTTAATATAAAATGGAAAACATGTAAGTGGAAATACTCAACGTTTTGTAAAAGGTGTAAGTTTTTGTGTTTTTGCATGTCTGAATACGAACACTCAAGTGTAATGTTCTCGAGTAATGGGATCTACGATTGCCTTGACTTGTTAACACTGATGTTAAAACGACTTGCTAAGATATGATGATATTCTTTTAGTGTTTTGTGACAAATACGAAGGGGCAGCGTTCCTTCCAAAATGCTCCCGTGTTGGCACGAAGCTGCGGAGTGCAGGCTAAGCTGTGACAAGGGACAGGAGTAATTAAATCTTGCTGTTCGTTATCCCTGGTGATTAAGGATATGGGTGTTGTGGAAAAATTAGGCTTACAAATACTGCCCAAAACATTTTAGCCATTAGCTTCCATTTCTTTCTCATCGAGCTTTTTTTTTTTTTTTGAGAGTTACTCTTAAGCCTCACTACTAACAGGTTTTAAGCTTTAGCTTTCTTTTTCCACCTTCTGATGGGTGCTGCTCTCTAAAAGAAATACCAATGCAAGGTGAGGCAGTACAAGAAAGAGCAGAATTCAGGAGCCTATTTAATTCACAAAATGGCTAGTGAGCCCTGAGTATTCAGGGCTGGCTGTGATTCAGACATCAGACCCTTTATAGAGTGGACCGCACTAGGAGAGCTAGCGAATTAAAAGCCAGGGCACTCTGAGAAGTGCAGTTAATCACGGCTCGTCCACCCCGTGAGAAAGGCATCTACCGAAAGTGCATCTCCACCGTTCACTTGTTTCAAAGCCAATGCTTTACATTCCAGGTGATCACCTTCTTCAGCTCCAGGTTGCTGCAGGCTGGAGCCGAGCTGTCAGTGGAACGGGTGCTGGAGATCATCAAGCAAGGAGTGGTCGCGCTGCCCAAAGACAGGCTAAAGGTAGGGCTGGCGCACGAGACACATGCTGTTGTGTCCCTTGATGTGAACATTAGTGTCCGGGCAGGCCCCATACAGAATCACAGCACGGACCCAGGGCGTGCACTAGAAAAGGCTTTTGCAGTGTTGCTGGTCTGCTGTGTACGGATACACAGAACTGATGAAGAAGGGTTCTCCTGGAAATAGCAGAAGAAGGACCGACTTCTTCCTATCACTGTATAGCCTATGAGTAACCACTGCATATATTATGAGTAACTTATATAAAGGGGCCCCTGATTTTTTTAACCCAGTGAAATAAATTCCTCCCTGTAAGTATCATCGAGGTCGATGGGAAGGTGGAGGTAGTGACGCCGACATCTGCAGCAATGGCTAACACTTGCCTCGTGCTTCCTCAGTGCTCCGCGGGACTCTGAGTGTCTTGTGTATACATTAACTTACTCTGTCGACACAGCAGCCCTGGAAGGTAGGGGTGGGGATTCTTTTCATCCTGATTTTTCAGTTGAGTAAACTAATACACTGAGTAGGTAAGTAACTTACCCAAAATCACAAAACTAGAGGTTTACAGAACTGAGAGGTTCACCTCCAGGCAGCCTGGCTCCAAAGTCCCTGCTCATGATTGCCGCACCATTCGCTGCAGGCTTGGGTGCATCTATGGAAAGAGAAGCATTTCATGAAAAAGGTGGGGGAGATACTGTATTTCAAGGAGACACACTGTGTGTTAGCTGTGTTCCTGAGGTGATCTCACAACAGGAAGTGCACACTTCCAGACTAATTTTTCCGAAGGAAAAAATGCAAAAGTCATGGTTTGGGGTGGAGTGCATGAATGCACAGCGTCATACCGTATTTTCACTTGAATACTTTAATGTTTTCCTACGTTACCTTCCAAACATTTTACTGGGTCCTAATCAACAACATGGCGTCACAGTGGATGTTCAGCCTTCTGCAGTGTCTTATCACGACCGACTCTGTTCCAGAGTTACCCTTTGGGGGCTGTGCTTTTCAGCGCTATCACTAACCCACTGCCTAACAAATGCCTGGAGACAGTGTCGTGGCATATGAAAATGTTTTCAGTGTCAATGGCAGAGTGTGTGAAACAGCACATCAGTCATCAGAGCCGCGCGCTGGGTCCCACCACACGTAGCAGCAGCAGGCTCGCGGTGCCGAGGAAAGACAGCAGGTTTTTCTGTCTCTTGGCTGAAATGGCACCACCACGGCACAGTAGCCTCAGAGCTAAGTACAGTTCACCAGACACTCCCGCTGTGACTTTATTCCTGACAGTTCTGTAAAGATAGGGAGTTCGTATTATCTCCAGCCTTACACTGAGTTTTTGGGGTTTGGGGGGAGAGAGGTCGCACTATCTCAAGTTTTCTTGATCTAGACCATGTGAGGCAGCTTGGAAATCCATGTGGATGGGACGGCCGCTCACGGGAAGTGATGGATCTCGGTGTCTGACTAAGTCAGAAAAGGAGCAGAATTATCATGCGGCTGTAAGAGAGGATCCCACAGTGGAATCAAGCGAAGAGGGATGTTAATGAGCTCAGGGAGCCATCATAGTGGGAGTGATGGAGATCGTGATTGGAGAGCAGTGTACTTAGACTGAAAAAGTCCACAGTGGAGCAGATCGCACGCAGTGATAACATGGCCTGGGTTTGGCCGTGAGTCGGGGGCTGGAGTGGTATGGACATGAGTGACAGTCAGTGTGACTGAGCCAGTTCATGAGCTGGAAGCCAGGGACAGGTAATTCGCGTGGGCATCCTAGTCTCAAGGGATGAGCCATGCCATGGACAGAAGGACTATGGGCCAAATGCTGCAGTGAACAGGAGCGAGGCCTGGGAATCAGCAGGAGGCAGCCACACGGAGAGAAGACGCTGGCACCGGGCTCACAGGAGCAGAGCTTTTTGCTTAAGGGTAGAGGAGGAATAACTGGCAAGGAACGAAGAATGAGCAGCCCCTCTTTCCAACACATCCAGGGGAATCAGGGCCCTGCGGGAAGAGCCAGATTTCAGCTAAAGAGGGAAGAAGGGAGGATTCGGTGCAGGCACGGAGAATGTAGGGATACTTAGTCACCTGAAATGGAGGTTCAGAGTGGCTTTGTGGGATATGGGAAGGAGGAAAAACAGGGTTTTGGACAAGGAGAGAGAAAGCACAGAACAGTATGGGCCCAAAGTACAGGAGAAGACGGCCGACTGGAGGGAGGGCCTGGTGTTTGGGCAGTGACCAGTCACTGTGTGCACGTTAGGTGTGAGCTTGCCACGAGGTCCCACTGACAAAGAGTCTTTACCAGGCCTCTGCTCTCGTGCTTGGGCCCATCAGTGATCAAAGGTTGCTGCCCTCACAGGACCCACGGTCTAGCAAGAGGAGATAGACAAAGAACAGTGAATGTAACACAATAAATAGCAAAACAGTAGAGACAGTGAGCATAACATAATAACAAAACAGCGGAGTGTACCAGAATGCGGTAAGTGGTATGGAAAAGGAAGGGGCAGGGGCGGGGTGTCCGGGAGTATTGGTGAGGGTGCGGTAGAAGAAAGTTGTAGAATTACAAAGAATGATCCGGGCAACATTTAGCATTTAGCAAAGATAAAAAGGAGGTGAGAGTTAATATGCTGATTCAGAGGAGAATCCCAAGTAGTAAAAACAGGCCCCGGAAAGGCCCCATGCCAGGCATGTTGAAGGAATAACAAGGAGCCCAGAGCAGCTAGAGCCTGCAAACAAGGTGGAGAGTAGTAGGACGGGAACACAGAACAGGGGGTAAGAAGGTGCAGGAGATGGAGAGCCACTGCAAGATGCTGCGAAGCAGCACGATGTGGCTTATGTTTACTTGTCTTACCCGAGTGCTGTGCTCAGACTGGACTACAGGGAGACCGTGAAAGCAGAGAGGCCAGTTAGAAGACTGTCCTTTGACTTGGCCGTGGCAGTAAGGTTGAAGTGCTGGTAGAGTCAGTCCAGGAAATCATCTGGGGAGCGGAGGAGGGCACTGAGTCCTCCTGGGAGAGAGCTGCAGTCTCCACTGATTACAGAAGCTCCAGGGACTGGGGGCTGAACATGGTTCTGATGGGCCGGTTAAAGAACTGGGCTGTTACATATTGGAGGGATTGCTGATGAAAGTGGGTTTGGACCGGTCTTTGTGGATCTTAGGGACAACTTTCAGGTGTTGGTTGGCCGAGGCTGTCACAGTTAGAAGCCTTACTCTGCTAAAGGTTGTGCAACTCAGCAGTGCTCTGGGGTCAGTACGCTCCTCGTGTGTGGAGGCTGCTGGTACAACACAGAGCCAACTTTCAGATGCTGCACCTTAAGACAATCTGGAAAACTCAGAGAATCACCAGAATTGTGAGGGAACACAGGAAGTGATGAGAGGAACTCATACAGTTGAGAAGATTCCAGCGGAAGAGGCTCGTCTTCAAGTACTGGATGAATTGTTTGTGAAAGCAGATTTGGACTTGTTCCTTGTCTTCTTAGGAATAGGACCTAAGTGGGTAGAAGCTGTATACAGGGACCTGCACTGCAGTCCATATAAGGAAGAACTTTCTAACAGATGGAGTTATTTACAGTTGGAATAGGCAACTTTTGGAAAGCGATGCATTCATTCTTACTGGATAAAGATGTTAGAGGAATAGGCTAATGACCACTTGCAGGGACACAGCTCTTAACCATTGGCCCTAGCTGGCTAGAGCAGTGAGTGGAGGAGGGTTCCAAGGTTGCATTCAGGTTCAGCAGAAAGAGTGCTAAGATACGTCAGCAATGCCTGGCATTGGTCACAAGAGCAAAAAGTAAGGAGCACGTGTGTGATTATTTGTCATCCCAATTGTAAACACTCAAATATTGGTTGGAAAATCCAACCATGTGACTTTTAAGAACCTTTCAATTCCTAAGAGTATAATTGTTTGTGCATATGCAAAATTCTTGTTCTCCACAAAGCAAAAAACTGCATGAATTCTTAAGAATAGTTTTCTCTCTCAGAAGATGCAAGAAACAATAAGGAAAATTATTAATCTGGGGATATCTTTATTTTTTTATTTTAAATTACAGTTGATGGGGATATCTTTGATGAGAAGGTTCATTTATGACAAAGAGTTCACCTTTCAGTTCATAATAGCAGACAGCATAGTCAGACTGGTACACTAGAAGAACCACAACTTCCAAAAAATTGGGATATGACTCATAAGAAAAATATGATTCAGGAGGGGTGTAGAACTTGAAAAAGAAAGGCTTTGACTATCCAACCGCAGGTTGTCCTGTGCAAACAACAAAGAAGAGCATTATGTTTGTGCTGGAGTCTTTATTGTCACCTCTGCTTCACCATCACCCCCCTCTCCAGTCTCTTCTACACACAGAGAAGCCAGAATGCATTTCCCAGCATCCTCCCTGCTGTAGCTCTGAGTTAGTCTGCCAGAGAAGGGCACTTCAGTGAGATTTGGAGGGTTGAAGAGAAGCCGCCATTTTTCTCCAGAGGGAGAAAGATTCTGCCTTCGCCTGGCTTGCTGCTGTAGATGGCAGAGGTCGTTGATGGCTCCCCAAAGGTACTGCGGTTTGCAGCCACTTGCTGGGAGCACTTGAGGACCACCCGCTCCAGTGCTTTGTTTTTTTGCAGCCTCCCTGATCTTTGCCCACCTTATTTTTTCCTGCAGTTGCATAAGCCTGTATTTTCCATATGAAATCCTTTATACTTGAGTTAGAGTAAGTAGCTTCTATTTTCCCTACCAAACCTGTCAGGGAAATTAAATCCAAATCCCTTATTTCAAACAGAAGGGAAATTGTTGAAAGGCCTCGGGGAGCCAAGAACCACTGCTGGCTTTCAGGAAGTCAGAAGTGGCAGCAATGTCATCACTGATGACCTGGCCTCCTGCAGCATCCACGTGGGGTCTGTGGGAAGATGGCTAGAAGCACTGTCAAGGCTTCCCTTCCAAGGCCTGCCCACCACTGTTAGCCGAGCAGCAGTGACCTCTGGTTCTCCTCTATCTCCTGAGATCCCCTCAAGTTCCTCTCATTGCCAAGTCTAACCC